GTGCTAAAGATGTTCGGTTGTATTATAATTATTCACGTGTGGATTCGAAGAAGAACTTAAACAACATTGATATATATATATCCCCACGTGATTTTTTCGTGCCAATAAAATCTAGACATATGGACAAAAATTTATATATATTTTTATTTCATCAGTACAAAACATCAATATAACAGTGTACTCGTGCAATGTAAATCATTTTCATTGATGGGAGACTGGAGGGTGCATGAATTGTGCATATATGTGTTGTCCGAGGCATGTGTGTGTGTGTGTATGTATGGCTCTGGGCCCTTTGGTTTTGGGGAGTGTCTGTCGGTAAGTGGATGGTCGGCTAGCTCACTGCCAAATATGCGGCATGTGGAGGTCATCAGATTTATGGAATTGGAGTGCAAATGCTTCAAGTTTGTATGGTGCTGGCTCCTTGGACAGCGTTGAGTGTGCTCAAAGGAATAATGGTTGCAAGGACATAAACCTACCAGCACACTGTCATTGAATAATTTTGACGAAGAATAAAAGAGAGGATAAAGGACATGAACACATTGTAGAAGAGGAACATGTTGATGTATATATTATTTGTAGTTTCTCAACGGTGCGAAAATGATAGTATGTGGCGGTTTTATTACACGTTATGATATGTGCCAGTAATTAATATTATATGATATGATAACTATGATGTTACTAATCTAGTTGCGCAAATTATGTATTAAAGTTAAGGGAGATCAATTTTTTAAATTAAATGATGTGGTTGTTATTGATTGGATTATTATTTAAACATTAATTAATGTGCTTATTTCCTATCGATGACACGTCATCTAGTTTGCAATTTGGTATAAAATTTTGGTCTTCCTAGCATTACCCTAAAATCAATCTATACCCCTCATTTACTTTGAATTTTAACATAAAACTCAAACTATATAATTGGTTCGTTTTCTCTGGTCATGCCCAAGGTCGTATAGATATAATATAATACAGGCCCTTTAAGGAAAGAGATCTCCATTTTTTTTCATAAAAATAGAGATTAGTTGTGGAACCCACTCTACATCAAACTTCAATGATCCAAACCGTCTATTTTATAAGTCTCGATTCATATATTATCCTTGCAAAAATTCAATTCAATCCAAAACCATTTGCCTATTTAATTATCACAATGAAATTTTATTGTTTCTTATAGAACAAAGTGTTGGTCAATTTCTTTGAACTTAATTAGATATCTCGATTATTTCCGATTTGGCTAATATTTTGCAAGGATGATTGAAAATTTGCAACTTGAAAAATAGACGGTTCGGATCGTTGAAGTTCGATGTGGTGTGGGCAAACTAATCCCCACTTTTCTTTTAAATGGGGATCCCTTCCCTTAAAAACCTCCCAACGTAATGCATTGTTTGTTCAAAAATTGTTTTTCTTTGAACTAATAAATTTGGTAGTAAAAGTGGAAATTATGTCTAAGTTTGGCAATTTTGGACAATACTTGCCTCCGCATAACTCCTAACCCTTGTAATCAAATCAAAATTTGGCATGCGTAGAGAAACTATCCTTTTATGGTTTTAATCAAATATTTTCGTACATAATATCATACGGTAATCTGCAGTTTATTCTCATGAAGAAATTATTGTCCACCTCTCTTGAGGGTGTAGATTAATTCTATATGTATTTTGCCATGTGTACCATTAGGATTGATTTGTGTGACATACCCCGCATAAGATAACATAACAAAATAATACCGTGACAAGGATTAAAAGAAGAACAAAATAATGTAGTTTTATTATTTTCCAATGTGATACAAAAGAATAAAAAAATATTTAAATACCAAAATACAGCTCCCTAATGTTTATACTCCCTCTAGTATTGTACATATACTCTAATATTAATTCATATTTCCTCTAAACCAAAGTAGAACAAGTTGAACTTGAGGGGTCATACAAAGCAGGAAGCAAGTACTTCTTCCCGTTATATCCATGAGCATTATAGCTAACTCCGATTGTGGGGTCCATTAGTAGGTCTTCTGCGTAACCAGGGTAGGACCCTTTACCGTAGACCCCAGGGCAAGCAGAAGAAGCTTCCAAAGGAGCGTCCTTCGAACCCTGGAAGTAGCCGTTTCCGAAAGGGTTGGTCACGATCCCCGCCAAAAGACTAGCCAGGTTGATCACCATGTCATCCAGGCCCACGTCGATGTTGGGGGCCACGAGGGGTGGGCTCTGGGGTCCATAAATGGGCTGGTGGAACGGCCATACGCATTGCCCTGGGCATTGGGTCTCTAAGTTTCCGACCCAAATGTAAGCAAACTTGTTGGTTTTTGATCCTCTGATTTGACTACCGTCGTTGGATGATTCATGGGTTCCGCACGAGTTCATGCAAAACCCATAGACAAGGACATCAGACGATGTCAAAACGACATTGATCCCGTAGTTTTGGGCGCCCTTTGAGGCCAGCTGTTGGATCTGGCGGGAAGTGAGGGATTTTCCTATAGAGTAATTCTCATCAAGAACTTGGGTTCCCAGAGACAGGGCGAGAGATGAAGTGGGCTTTTTCGAGAGGTGGTAGTATTTCTCTATGGACTTCCACCATGTACCGACGGACGGTTGGTCAGAGGTGGGTTTAAATAGGGAGATGAGAAAATCAGAAACGACTGCACGCTGGGAGGGGGTGAAGCGGCCGTACCAGATCAAGTTGAGAATTTTCCGGTAAGGAGATGGTCGTTGTGGTAGTGGAATTGCATTTGGTTTTGGTCAGAAGTTTCAGCAAGGTTCCTAGCTGCTGAGCTGAAATGAAACAGAGAAATATCAAAGACTAGTTTCAAAATTGCAAACGCTGCCATGGATTTTTTTCTAAAAAAGGGTGATCAAATTTGGTGCTTGGGATCTTAATGGAGCTGAAGATCTTATGGAGTGGGATGGAAATGAAGTGAGGAGGTGAGAGTGAATATATAGGGCTAAAAAGTTGGGGAGGAAGAAAGTGCATGGAATGAGGTGAAGGGTATTGACTTAAAACTTAAAGAAAGAAGGTAAAAGGGAGAGTGCGAGAGGCCAGTAGGACAATGCGATGCGTATTTTAAAATTTTGGGTTTGCGGAAGGACAGGGTCTGAGGACTTTTGATCAAGGACATCGCTGAGCCAGCTATTAAATTAAGGACAAATAAAAAGATAGCACAATAATGTAGATGAAGAGGACATAGTTTAGAGCTCACTGCTCTCACTGTCAAGGAGGAGGAGGAAAATACCTGTCCGTTTTTGTTTGCTTGTTTTTGTGTATACCCTTATTTCAAAGGTATGGTGGACTTTATGTGGTCGAGGGTGTGACTAAATGAAAAAGTTCACTTCTATTAACGGGTGCATCTGGTCAAATATAGATCTGAAACCCCACCTTTTAAAATGAAAAAATAAATGGAGAAATAAATAAATAAAATTGATTTTATATGTGTATTAGTTTGTTGATTCTTTAATCGTATCTCATTATTCGAAGTCATCCATTTATTGTAAGTGGTGGGTTATTTTGATGAATAGGTCATTTGTCTTAACTCACTGCATCTAGGTCCACCCTTCCTAGCCCCTCACCCCGTAGTTTAAATAAATTTAGTGTAGATTATCATTTGTCAAAATAAACAAGTCGCCCCTTTAAACTGATTTCTAGCTTTGTCTTTGCTTGAGCAGGTTGGTGAATGATACATAAACCAGATTTATCAAATGTTAATATATTCCCCACTTTATGTGGCAATATTTATCAATCTTAGTATAGTCCGAGTTTGAATTTCATTTTTTTTTCTTATATAGCAACACTTTGTCGTATAAAAGATGACTAATAAGCTGTTAAACTAATGGTAGCGTAGAGGTGAGCAGCCTTCGGAACTAAAATGGGCTACATATACAGTGTTTATATGAACAGCTATTTCATAGGTCGGAATGATGGAAAGTTCTACACACCCAGCGATAGTGTTGAGTTGTGAGAGGTGAGTGGTCGGGGCTAAATTGCGACAACCTGAGCTTCGTCAGGCACTAAACTAGGTCAGTTGAATTAGTTAATGGGGTGTGATATCCACACACTCCTTTTTACTTGTCCCACATCTTTTTTGTTTTCGGCCATCGGATCGAATGAATTGAAGAAGATCAACGGACAGAAATTAGCAAGGGGTGTGTGAGAAGTAAAAAAGAATGTGTGGATAGCACACCCCTTAGTTAATTATGCACGTGTGTATCCCCTTAGTTAATTATGCACATGTGTATTCGAAGAAGAACTTAAATAACATGGGTATATCGAGATTTTTTTTGCTAATAAAATAAGGATATATGTACAAATATTTATACATACCTTTTATCTCATCAACACAAAACATCAATATAACAGTGTACTCATGCAATGTAAGTCATTTTCGCTGATTGGAGACTGGTGGGTGCATGAGTGTTGAATATTTTAAGAATATAATATAATGTAATATATATATATATATATATATATATATATATATATATATATATATGCGGCTGTTTGACAGGATGGGATTCAACCCAATAATCACACCTTTTGAAATGAAACAGTACACCTTTTATCTATTGGCGAAAAGACATAATGCATCCCGTACATATGCATTCCTTTACGTCTCTTGTATCAGACATATCCATTAGAAACATTGTTGCAATGTTCAGTTGTATCTCATGGTGAGAGGACACACCCAAAACCAAAAGATATGTCTAAAATGTGCAATTCTCTCTATATATATTGGTGATATTAGTAGAAAAATAATTATTCAGAAATTTGTTGTATACACAATTTCCTTGCTCTCTCTTCTCTCTCCATCACATTCATACAATTTATTTCTAGTTATTTCTAATGGAATATAATTCGGTTTTGCTAATCGAATAGTCCATACTTTGTTGGATCCTGGAAGTGATTTGCTAAGAACCCTTTAGCAAACTCATTCGATGATAGCTCCTTCCATACTTTGTTGTTCTTCAAAGTTTGCAACGACATTTCTTCGCCTCTCTACATGACCATCCAAACTTCAACTTTCACGATGATAGCTCATTCCACCTACTAGACAGACTCCACTGATCGGAACTTGCCACCGATGAGTTCCTTCCGGTGCCACACTTGGCCACTATCCTCATGCTTTTAATCAAAGCCTCAGTGCGAGCTTCCTGCGACAAAATGTCAGAGAGCTGCTCTGGACTTATCACCAGCTTCACCTTCCAAACCCCACTACTGTTGTACCTCGGAAAAACTTCAGGATCTGCCGGCCTCTTGCCTTGATTGTCACATGACATGCGATACGGTGTACAAACAATGTCGTTAGGGTTTGCATTAATATCATGATTTTTTGGGGTTTTGTAGGGGTTGAGAGGTAGGAGATAGTAAAGCTCTTTAGGATGAAGCTCTTCGTTGTGGAGAGGAAGTTGCGCGAAGAGGTCAGGGCTGTGGAAGATGGCATGGCCTGGGAACTCATTGGTTATAGAGTTAGTTGTGATGGGGGCAAAGAGCTCTATTATTCCCCCACTGTATGTCACGACTTTCACCATCTCTTCTGCCTCTCGAAGCTCTTTAAACACACAATTTCCCATTTCATATACGGAGAGATTATTTGGTGTATCTGATATACCAGCAAATATGGAATGACCACGGAGGTCTGAGCAGCATATGCTACACCCAGAATAAATAACACATGGAAGAAAAAGTGGGGGAAGAGAAGCCCCGGACGGCGGAGGGCCATTATCCTTTGCGTGCGACCTCAATCCTCAATCCAGTACGGCGGAGGGCCATTATCCTCTACGTACGACCACTCTTCTGTATCTACGTACGTGCGTTTATCGCTCTGTGCTCTCTGTAATTGTATGTTGAAAGCGAGGAAAGAGAGAGATAGCTCTGTGTTTCCATCGATGCCGTTTTGCAGTGACTGTGCAGGTGTTTGGTTTCTTCAAATTCACGGCGAAGGTGAAAAAAAGAAAGAAAACCGACATAGTTTTTTGTGTCGATTCCCACAGACGGCGCCAAATGTTGATGCACAAAACCGAAAGGTCTTGGAACAGCGTAAATCCGATCATGAATCTGCAAGAAAGTAGAAAACAGAAGATGTATTATGGTTCTCCCCAATGTTTAGGCTACGTCCACACTGATGTTGATATTGTTTCACTATGAATGGTGAATATATATAGGAGGCTAGAGGCAGTGTGCTCTCTAGCCTATTTTCTCTCTTCCCATGGCCTAAATTTGACCTCCCCTAATGAGGAGAGTGAGGAGTCTTTTTATAGCATAAGAGCTCATCACTTATTACATATTTGCCCATTCATTTATTACATAATTACATTTGAGTCCCCCGAGTATTTATACAAGGTCTAAATACGGAGGCCCAATATAATATGGTACCAATAAAGGACTTGAATGAAATGGATACTATCTTGGGAATTAAGGCAAAGAAGCATAATAGGGGTTACGCTTTATGTTAGTCACATTATATAGAAAAATTGCTTCTTAAGTTTAAGCATCTACAAATAAGAAACAAATACCCCTTATGACCCTAGTGAAACTTTGTTTAATAATTCTGGTAGGTCTGTTGCACAGCTTGAGTATGTTAGTGTAATTGGAAGTTTAATGTATGCCATGCATTGTACCAGGCCAGATATCGCATTTGCAGTAAACAAACTTTCTAGATACACTAGTAATCCAGGTACTGCTTGTTGGAAAGCAATAAATAGAATTTTTGGTTATCTTAAAAAAACTATTAACCTGAGTTTAACTTACTCTGAATTTCTAGCAGTACTTGAAGGATATTCAGATGCAAGTTGGATAACAAGTGCTAATGATAATAAGTCTACATCAAGGTGGATTTTTACAATTGCCGGAGGAGCAATTTCTTAGGCTTCGAAGAAGCAAACATGTATAGCACATTCAACTATGGAATCTGAATTTATAGCTTTAGCAACAGCAGGTAAAGAAGCGGAATGGATTAGAAATTTGCTATTGGAAATAGAGTTGTAACCATAACCAATGCCATCCATTTCTTTATACTGTGATAGTGAAGTTACTTTGTCTAGAGTATATAATAAGGTATACAATTGAAAGTCTAGACATGTTAGCTTGAGACATGAATATGTCAAGCAATTAATAACTGATGGAGTTATTAATATTATTTATGTTAAATCAAGTAATAACTTGGTGGATCCGTTAACGAAAGCACTTTAAAGAGCTTTGGTAGGTAGTACATCCAGTGGAATGGGGCTAAAACCCTTTATTGAAAATTAGCCACCAATAATGGTAACCCGACTTTATCTAGAACATCACTAGTTTAAAAGTTTAATAGGTAATAACAAGTTATTGATAAGTGATTGTGAAAGCACTGAAAATTAATATATAGCTCATTCCAGGATGATCAATGCAAGACTGCTACGTTTAGGAGGACGAGTTTTATCTCTTAATGAGGTTATTTGTAATTATGTCTATAGTAGCAGGGACATGGGAATGAACCTCACCTATATGAACATAAGAAATGGTGCCGCTTCTACCAAGAGTTGGGTTTTCTCTTGTAAATATTTGTGAAACCAGGATGAAGCACAAGGTCATAATAGTGCTTAATTAGTTCAGAAATTTCTTTAAGGAAATAAGACATAGTCATGTGTGTAGTAATTCTGGTTTTAACATAAGAATAGTTGGTATAAACTTAGGTCACCCTCGCATTCGTTATAACTTTGAATTGCTTACACTAATTAAAGGTTTAATTCGAAAGACACCTTTATTGTATGCATGATTATATCAGTATGCTTGTGATAATTATAAAGAGAGAATTGTTGTAATATTATTTTCTATATATGTTCTTAAAATAGGGAAGGATTGTTGAATATTTTAAGAATATAATATAATGTAACATATATATATATATATATATATATATATATGTGGCTGTTTGACCGGATGGGATTCAACCCAATAATGACACCTTTTGAAATGAAACAGTGCACCTTTTATCTATTGGCGAAAAGACATAATGCATCCCGTACATATGCATTCCTTTACGCCTTTTGTATCAGACATATCCATTAGAAACATTGTTGCAATGTTCAGTTGTATCTCATGGTGAGATGACACACCCAAAACCAAAAGATATGTCTAAAAGGTGCAATTCTCTCTATGTATATTGGTGATATTAGTAGAAAAGGAATTATTCAAATATTTGTTGTATACACAATTTCCTTGCTCTCTCTTCTCTCTCCATCACATTCATACAATTTATTTCTATTTATTTCTAGTGGAATATAATTCAGTTTTGCTAATCGAATATTTCATACTTTGTTGTATCCTGGAAATTATTTGCCAAGAACCCTTTAGCAAACTCATTCAAGTGGAGGCAAATAACACTTTAAGGAAACGATTCAAGTTGTACCTCAAAGTCATCTTTCGGATTATTCTCTATATTTCTACATTTTCTCTAACAATGAGTTGTGCACATGTGTGCTGCCCAAGGGTGTATATGTAGATAAGAGACCTTTAAGGGAATGAACTCTCTTTTTAGCCAAAATTGTCTATAAGATTTGGATAACTCTTCATTTTGGTCCCTAATATTTGAAATTAATAGAAGTGGTCCCTAAAATTGTTCACTAGCAATCATTTTGGTCAGTAGGTGAAAAATTATGTTAAATAAGGATCAAAATGACAAAACTACCCTCAATTTAATAAGCAATAGGCCAAAATCATTTGACCAAAATTGAAGATATTTTTGTTATTTTATTCTTATTTTATGGAGATTTTTCACGGAATGACCAAAATGATTGATTGTGGACAAACTCAGGGACCAATTCTATCTATTTCAAATCTCATAGACCAAAGTAAAGAGTTATGCAAATCTCAGGGATCAATTTGGCTAAAAACCCTTTTTTTTTTAATGGAGAATAGTTGTGGGGCTCACACCACATCAAATTTCAATGATTCAAACCATTCTTTGATCATCCTTACAAAATCTTAAGCCAAATGGAAAATATTTGAGACATCTAATAGAGTTCAAAAAAATTGATGAACAATTTGTTTTATAAGAACCAATGAAACATCATTGTGATAACAGAAATATAATATGTAAATAATTTTGGATTGAATTGAATTTTTGCAGGATAATCTATGAATCGAAACTTACAAAATAGACGGTTCGGATCGTTGAAGTGTGATGTAGAGTGTGTTCCACTCCTATTCCATATTTTCTGAAAAATAAAAATAAAGATCCCTTGTCTTAGAGAGGAGTGTCTGTCGATAAGTGGATGGTCGGCTAGTTCACCGCCAAATATGCGGCATGTGGAAGTCATCAGATTTATGGAATTGGGTTTGTATGGTCGGCTAGCTCCTTGGACCGTGTCGACTGTGCTCAAAGGAATAATGGTTTGCAAGGACATAAACAATAATTTTGACAAACAAAAGAAGAGAGGAGAAGGGACATGCATACATTGTATAAGAGGAACATGTTGATGTATACATTATTTCTAGCTTCTCAACCGTGCGAAAATTATTGTATGTTACAGTTATATTACGCATTATCATATATATGGCTAGTAATTAATATTATGTGACATGATAACAATAATGTTACTAATTTAATTGCAGAAATTATGTATTAAAGTCAATCTACACCTTTCATTTACTTTGAATTTTAACATAAAACTCAAACTATATAATGTATAGTTTGTTCAAAAATTGTTTTTTTTTTTTTTGAACTAATAAATTCGGTAGTAAAAGTGGGAATTATGTCTAAGTTTGGTAATTTTGGAAAATACTTGCCTTTGTATAACTCGTAACCCTTTTAAACAAATCAAATTTTGGCATGCGCAGAGAAACTATCATTTTATGGTTTTAATGAAATATTTGTGTACATAATATCATACTGTAATTTGTATTTTATTTTCATGAAGAAGTTACTGTCCACCTCTTTTGAGTTGTAGATTAATTCTATATGTATTTTGCCACGTGTACCATTAGAATTGATTTTTGTGGTAGACCTTGTGACATACCCCAAGATAACTAAACATGACAAAATAATACCATGCAGATAAGGATTAAAAGAATAACAAAATAATGTAGTTTTATTATTTTTTAATGTGATACAAAAGAATAAAAAAATATTTAAATACCAAAATACAGCTCCCTAATGTTTATACTCCCTTTAGTATTGTACATATACCCTAATATTAATTCATATTTCCTCTAAACCAAAGTAGAACAAGTTGAAGTCGAAGGGTCGTACAAAGCAGGAAGCAAGTACTTCTTCCCATTAGATCCATGAGCATTGTAGCTAGCTCCGGTTGTGGGGTCCACTAGTAGGTCCCCAGCGTAACCAGGGTAGGACCCCTTGCCGTAGACCCCGGGGCAAGCGGAAGCAGCTTCCAAAGGAGCCTCCTTCGGACCCTGGAAGTAGCCATTTCCGAAGGGGTTGGTCACGGTCCCTGCCAAAAGACTAGCGAGGTTGATCACAATGCCATCCAGGCCCACGTCGTTGTTGGGGGCCACGAGAGGTGGGCTCTGGGGTCCATAGATGGGCTGGTGGAACGGCCACGCGCATTGCCCTGGGCATTGGGTCTCTGAGTTTCCAACCCAAATGTAAGTAAACTTGGTTTTTGATCCTCTGATTTGACTACCGCTGTTGGATGAGCCGTGGGTCCCGCACTGGTTCATGCAAAACCCATCAACAAGAACATCAGACGATGTCAAAACGACATTGATCCCGTAGTTTTGGGTGCCCTTTGAGGCCAGCTGTTGGATCTGGCGGGAGGTGAGAGATTTTCCCAGAGAGTAATTTTCATCAAGAATTTGGGTTCCTAGAGAGAGGGAGAGAGATGAAGAGGGTTTTTTCGAGAGGTGGTAGTATTTCTCTATGGACTTCCACCATGTGGCGACGGATGGTTGGTCGGAGGTGGGTTTGGATAGAGAGGAGATAAAATCGGAAACGATTGCACGCTGGGAAGGGGTAAAGCGGCCGTACCAGATCAAGTTGACGGAGAATGTTCCGATGAGAAGAGGGCCGTTGTGGTACTGGAATTGCATTTGGTTTTGGTTGGAAGTTTCAGCAAGGTTCCTAGCTGCTGAGCTGAAATGAAACAAAGAAATAACAAGGGCTAGTTTCAAAATTGCAAAAGCTGCCATGGTTTTTTTTTTTTTTTTTTCTTCTAAAAAAAGGTGATCAAATTTGGTGTTTTGGATCTTAATGGAGCTGAAGATCTTGTGGAGTGGGATGGAAATGGAGTAAGGAGGGGGAAGTTAATATATACGGCTGAAAAGTTGGGAGGAAAGAAAGTGCATGGAAGGAGGTGAAGATATTGACTGGAAACTTAAAGAAAGAAAGTAAAAGGGGGCAGAGTGAGAGGCCAGCAGGACAACGCGTTGCGTATTTTAAAATTTTGGTTTTGTGGAAGGAAAGGATCTGGATACTTATGATTAAGGACAGTGTTGAGCCAGCTAAGGAATCGAGGACAAATAAAAAGACAGCACAATAATGTAGACGAAGAGACAAAGTTTTGGGCTCACTACTCTCACTGTCAAGGGTGGAGAGAAATTTTTAATTATGACTGGAATATAGATGGTACATTATGTGTTTTTAAGTAAGTGATGATAAATTTTATTTTTGAAGTTATTAACTTTTTAACACATATATCCTATTATTTGTATAATGACACATGATTTACCACCTCGTGTGCCAGTCACACTGAAAAATCCTTCCACGGTTGGGGAGGACAAAAACGCGTCAGTTCTGTTTGCTTTTTATGTGTATACCCTTATTTCAAAGTTCTGGTGGACTTTATGTGGCGGAGGGTGTGACTAAATTATTGGATGTTTTTGGTCCTGCAACTAAATGCAAAAAGTCGCAACAGCTATTCAAGCTGGTCAAATATAGATCCAAAACGATGTTAAGTCCCCACCTTTTAAAATTAAAAAAATGGAGGGACAAAGAAACCGAATAAAGGAATATTATATTGGTAATGTTTAGGGAGGAAATATGAATTTAGGAATATTATGGATACATTTTGTATGAAATAAGATTTTTCTTTTTTGTACAGAGATGAATATTCTTCCTACAATAATTTCCATCAAGTGAATGCAAGAACATCTCGATGGGATGGAAAATTTACATCACAAGATATATACGATGTCTGATGAAATGTCTATTTAATATATCTCGACATCATGCGTCGATATAACTCGACAAGACTTATAAGCAAATGTACATATGTTTGCTCAACATTTGTTGACACAGGCCCTTTACCAAGGGGTTCTCATTTTTGGGTAAAAATAGGGATTAGTTGCATGGTCCACTCGACGTCGAACTTCAACGATTTAAATTGTTTAGTTTGTAAGCCACGATTCGTAGCTCATCTTTGCAAAGATCAATTTTCTTGAAAACTATTTGTCTATTTAACTATCACAATGAAATTTCTTTATTTTTTATGAAACAAAATGTTAGTCAATTTCTTTAAACTCAATTAAATATCTTAAATATTTTTTATTGGCTAATATTTTGCAAAGATCTATGAGATCAAACTTAAAAAATAAACAATTCAAATTGCTGAAGTACGATATGGTATGAGCTTTACAACTAGTTCCGAATTTGAAAAAAAAAAATTAAAAGCCTCCTTTTGTAGACATACGTAAAAATGATTATACATTCATCCTATTTTCAGGACAAGGATTGTCTGCCCTCCTTGTTCCCGTGCCCTCCCGTGCCCTTCTGTTTGTGTGGTCACGGTTAAGCCACGTCAACATTTTATATTACTATTCATTTTTGTCTTATTATCTCTATAAAAATAATAATATAAAATGTTGACGTGGCTTAACCGTGACCACACAAAACAGGAGGGCATGGGAGGGCACGGGAACAAGGAGGGCAGACAATCTTGTCCCTATTTTCAACATGACAGCTTCCTATTGGACCATTTAAATCTAATCTATCATATTAAAAGAGTTGAAAAAGAAAACATGACAGTTGACAGTAAGCTCTCTCTTTTGTCGCACTCAATTCCATCCCCATTGGCTGTCTTATTTGTCCTAATTCACTTTAGCTGGCTCAACACTGTCATCTCGTAAATCTAGATGCCGTCTTAAAGCCTCCGCACCACCACTCCCTCCCCCACCTAATCTCAACTTTCTTATCAACCTCCTCCTCTCAGTCCTCACATCTATATAAACACCCTCCCCACCCCTCTCATTCCCCACCCCAACATCTCAATCCCTCCCAACTTTTAACATAAAAAACCTCCCAATTCTAAATCTTTTTTTCAGAAGAAAATGGGTTTGAATTCTAGTCAGTGGCTTATGAAGCTGTTTGTTGTGACCACCTTGTTCCAAGTGTCATTTGGTTCCAGCAGGTTGTTCCAAGTCTCATTGGCAACGAGGAAGCTGAGCGAGCTTGTCCAAGATCAAACCCAGCTCCTCAAATACCACAACGGCCCTCTCCTCTCCGGCAAAATTACCATCAACCTCATCTGGTACGGTAACTTCAAGCCCTCCCAGAAAGCCATTGTTTCCGATTTCATCTCCTCTTTGTCCTCCTCCTCCCCTTCCAAAACCCCGCAACCCTCCGTCGCCGCCTGGTGGCAGACCACCGAGAAATACTACCACCTCACCTCCAACAAAAAGTCCTCCAACTCCCTCTCCCTCTCTCTGGGGAGACAGATTCTCGACCAAAGCTACTCCCTCGGCAAATCCCTCACCACCAAACAGATTGTCGCATTGGCCGCAAAGGGCGACCAGAAAAACGCCATCAATGTTGTCCTGACATCTGCCGACGTGGCTCTTTCAAAACCGGACACACCAAGGGCAGCAAGAACTCCAAGTTCGCTTACATTTGGGTTGGAAACTCGGAAACCCAATGCCCGGGGCAGTGCGCGTGGCCATTCCACCAGCCCATCTATGGGCCCCAGAGCCCACCCCTTGTAGCCCCCAACAACGACGTGGGCCTCGACGGCATGGTCATCAATCTGGCTAGCCTTATGGCCGGGACAGCCACCAACCCATTCGGAAATGGATACTTCCAGGGTCTGGCCGAGGCACCATTAGAAGCTTCCTCGGCCTGCCCTGGGATTTACGGGAAAGGAGCTTATCCTGGTTATGCCGGGGACCTGCTGCAGGACCCAACCACGGGCGCCAGCTACAATGCCAATGGTGCTAATGGAAGGAAGTACTTGCTTCCTGCACTATATAATCCTGCAACTTCATCTTGTTCCACTTTGGTTTAGTGGCTAGATTAATTAGTACTAATTAATGTATACGCAGCCTATGTAGGTGTTACATAAATTCATTGATTCAATTTATTTTTGGTTATGAGGGTTATATATTAAAGACAGTAAATTATTTCGGTTTGCATTCATATTTTCAATGAGCATTTTTTCAGACTTTTGAGTAAAATGATGTACCTCTCTTTATTCTTGATTGTGATATAGACTTAATTAGGGATGTACAATGGTTATGGCGAGCAGGTAACCGCGGTTATTTACCCATAACCGTTTATGTTTATACCCGCATAACCGTTTACCCTTGGTTAATTGCCTAAACGGTTATACACATACCCATAACCGTTTATAAACGGTTAATCATACATATTTAACCGTAACCGTTTAATACCCGTTTACCCATTTACCCTTTTTAACCCGTTTATCTTTTTTTTTTTTTTTTTACCATTACTCCTTTTTTACTCGTCTACATGTTTTTTAACAATTTGAAAATTAAAAAAAAAATTGTCATAATTTTCTTTTTTTTTTTACAATTAAACACTGTTATTGGTACATTCATTATACATTTTCGTATTTTAATTTTTTAAATCCTTATACCATTCTAATAATTGAAATAATAGTATACGGACGATATTTTTAACTGTTACCAATAAAGGTAAATATAATATTTGCTAAGTATTATTGGGTTACAAAAATTGTTTAGAATACATTTCTATCAATTTCACGGTTACCCGCAAGGAATTTAAATTAATTTGGCGAATTCCTTGATGATGAGAATCATCATTCCTGTAGCAGTGTTATTGAGAGAATGACCGATGAATTCCTTGCTAATTTATTGGGTGCTAAGTATTATTGGATCGAGAACATGATTTGTGTTAGTTTTACATATATAAAATAAATAGGTAAACGGTTACCCGTTTATAATCGCGGTTAATACCCATAACCGTTCATTTAAATTTCGCAGGTAAACAGTTATACTCATAACCGTTTATTTATCTAAACAGTTACCCATAACCGTAACCATTTAATTTAAGAGAGTTTTAATGAAAAACTCAGGGTACTGTTCATTTTAATGAAAAACTATATTTTTACACTAAAAAGTCAAACATGCTACTATTCACTTTACCATTTATTTTGTACTTATCATTAAAATTCAAAATTTTCAAGTCATTTTCATTAGTTTTCCGTTAATTTAAATGGGCGGGTAACTACTGTTACCCATAACTAATGGGTATTTGCCCGTCCCTAAACTTAACCCACAATTAACACTCATTGCCTATGAATTTCAATGTTTGATACCGTACTCTTTTAATCATTTTATGAAATGGAGAGTCTTAACACACTTCAAAGTTTTTCAAGAATGGCATAATAAAGTAGGTGAAGTGCAATAATATGGCATACACTTTCCAGTTTCCATCCAGCCAAATAAAATGAGTGTATCTAGCATAGGATCTTTATCCCCAATCTATAAAGAGAAAGAAAATCTGCTTTAACAACTTTTGTTCTTGTGCAGAGATCCCATGTTTTATATGTGCCGACTAATAATGTATGTAAATATTTTTAGACAAGGAGACTAAGAGCATTTTTAAAAGAAACGTTAAATTTAAAATATCAAATTTTAATTTAATAGCTAACTTAGTAATTTGATATATTGTCCTTCCCTCCTATATGTCAAAATTTATAGTTTTATTTATGTTTTTTCAAACAAAAATAATAAAAGTTGGGTTGTTGTTGATTTAAAAATAATAAAATAATACTTAAATATGCTACCATTTAAGGTAAGGCAAGTGAGATGTCTTTGGAAATAGTAAAAATCAAATTTGAAAGCAGCTTCAAATTTGACATCTCTTTGTCCATATCAGCTTAGCCTTCTTTTCCATGTCATCTTTGGCATCTCGGTTGGAGTATATGATACGTCATTTGTTACTGTTATATGCATATGTGGCATTTTTGACATCTCCTTTGGAGATTGTCTAAATCCATTAGCAAGTTTTTTTACTTCGTAACTGTTCGAGTACTAAATTAGAGTCATACTACAAAGAAAAATGCTATGGGAACTCTCTTAAAGGTGAGATTTTCCATACTCTCTAACACCTCATGTTTTTGGCACAATATTTATAATGTTAGCACGATAATTAATGTTAAACTGTTAAATGCGAGGGAGTCCATGGAGAGTCTCACTCCTCTTAGTTTTTCTCGTACGCAAAACTCACTTTATTTATGACAAATGCAAAGACCATCTCTAAAGGAGATGCCAAATATAAACATAAAATTTAATTTTGACAGCTCATGTGACACTTTGACATGTTTTAAAGTTTTGCCTCCACCCAATATGTCAAATATTAAAAAAATTTAAGTGCTGTCAACTTTGGCAGCAAAAGGGAAAGATGTCATTTCATATCGTGCTACATCAGATTTGGCTTTTCGGTTGGAAAACATTATAGCTGTCTTTTCTTATTGTTATTGCTGATTTGGTACATTTTGACATCTTCTTTGGAGATATTCTAAGGAGACACTCAAAAAATATCTTAAAAGTGAAACTCTTCATGGACTCTATGCCGCCTCATATTTTGGCATAATGTTTTATAATGTTAGCATGAGAATTGATGTTGAACTGTGAGGTGAAATATAGTCTATGGAGAGTTGCACTTTTGAGAGAGTTTCCTTAACATTTTTCTTATTTTATTCCATGTATTAATACACACAAAAATTCCAATTGCAATAATTTAACGTTTCTATAATCAACTACTTAGTATTACAGTTTAGTAATATTCCTATCTATTTGTAAGTGAGAGGTCTTAGGTTCAATTCAAACCAAAAGCGAATTTGAATCACATTGCTGTTAGTCTATTGTGAGACTAAACCAACCACTTTCCTTAGTATAGATAATATCGTTTGTTCAGAAGAAAAAAAAAACGTTTGCAAAATCATGCTTTATCAACATGTATAGTTGATATGAACGAGAATTTTTTACGGTGCCAGAAATATGTCTGATATACTAAGTGTCAGAATACAATTAGTTAGAAGATATTTTTGAAAATTTTCAACCAGTTGTATTATTACAATTAGTAAAATGGGCCATGTGTTTTTCGCATAGAAAAATCTCTAGATGTGAACAAGTGGTAAGCCACAAAGACCGTGGAACACAATTGCCTTAGCTATAAATTATTAGACACAGCTGGTAAAGCTCGATTCTTTGTTTTATTTATCTTTTCTATGAACGGTAATGCTCGCTCGAGGGTTTTCAGCTTTTCAAAAGCTCACCTACCTTAGCCCCAGTTTGGGGTTGAGGTGATTTTAAAAAAAGCTCCTATGAAAAAAAGCTGGGAGTGTTTTTGGTGTTTGGTAAACTTAAAAAAAAGGGCTTATTTTGGAAGCTGCTGTGAGAATAAGCTGAAATCAAAGGAAAAAGCTGAAATCAAAGGAAAAAGCTGAAGCTGCAATTTGTAGCTTTGGAAAACTGGCTTTTTTTCAAAGCACATAGAACTACAGTGCTCTTTTAATGAAAAGATCCACTATCAGACTGCTTTTTTTTCCAAAAGCACTTTTACAAAAAAGTTTACCAAACACTCTGCTGATTTATTTCACAGCCGCTTATTCTCACAGCACAGCCGCTTATTCTCACAGCAGCTTTTTTTCAAAGCACAGCAATACCAAACCAGCCCTAATCTAACTTTTTTCTTTTGCCAGAAACCATCAAACTCCTAATACGGTTCGTTATTTTTATTTAATTTAATGATGAAAAAATTATCAAAAACCAGTGTATAAAAAAAAAAATGTAAAAATCAGCTTGCTGAGCAAGTCCACCCCTAAGGACTTTGTGCCAGCACCCAGCGCATTTATCCACTCAAGTGAACAGTAATAGACTGGAGTGAACAGTAATAGGCCAAGGCATCTCCACCCCTAAAAAAATGCGCTGGCACCCAGCGCATTTATTTGGTGTGTTTTTTTTTTTAAGTTTATTTCGAATAAGAATTTTTAACCAATTTCAGATAAAATTTCAAATAAACTTAAAAAAAACACACTAAAATAAAATTACATAAACTCATCAAATAAACTATAAAAAAAACACACTAAAATGAAATTACATAAACTCATCAAATACACTTTATTCTTCAACCACAAGCTTTTTGGTATTTTTTTTCACACAAAAAGTATATGAAAGCTTTGGTAGAAAAGTGTAGAAAATATTGAAATGTGGTGTAAGGTGGAAGATGAGGGTTAGGTATTTATAAATAAAAAAATAATTTTTTTTTTTAATTTTATGTATTTTTTAATAATTTTTTTGTATTTTTTAATAAATATTAATTTAGTTAATTAACGTGGACCGTTGATCTGTGATCAGACGGTCCAGTTTAAAAGTCAAATTTAAAATTTTTTACCATTAGAAATCCAACGGTCTAGAAAAAACTAGCCGTTGGAAATCCAATGGCATATAGCGTGACACGTCGCCTCTCCTTTGAGAACTGAGTGGGGCCTGCGCCGCGGACCCCACCTGTCGGCTAGATGGACCGGGCCACGCCTCAGTCAATTTTGGACTGGGCTAGAGACCGGCTTGGGCTGGGTGCTGGGCAATTGGGTCGGCTGGATGGGATTCCCTGTGTGCTGGCCTATTTATTTGGCTGGGTGCTGGGCAAAAAGCCCTCCGGTGGAATTGCTCTTAGAAAATGGCAAAAGCTCAAGCAGGCACAACATTTTCTGATGCAAATGGGAACAATTTGCATTTAATCTAGTGGTGCTATTCAGACATTTTATTTATATTTTACACACATCTCTTTAGTTTTGACGTTGAATTGAATGAATTAAAGAGAATTAAATGATTAAAATTACCAAAAAATATGTGGAAGGTTAAAAAAAATGTCGATAGCACAATCCTTATTATATCATTATTATCCTCACAACCAAAAGAAAATTGAACAAATCATACATTTGTCCCTCTGATGTTTCAAATCAAAGTAGAACAAATCAATGAATATATCTAACTCCTAATTTGGCTTTGGATTAGATCAGTCCTTGGCTTGTTTAATTAACGATTAAGCACCTAAAACCTCCCAACTTTCTTGTGTCATTCTAAATTGACCTCAATCATTTTAAACATTCCAAATAAATACTCAACTTAATGAAAATGTAACAACAG